ATAAAACACTAAAATAATCATGGTCTAGAACAGAGATCACAAATTTAAATTTAAAGAACCACCCAAGGGGGCCCAAGTATTACCAGCAGTACACAAATCATAGTTTGACAGATGTAAACCCAACTTGTTTTGTACACACACACATCTAGAGTCTGGAACACGTCTCATGAGGACCTTTTCACACCCCTCTCAATTCCTTCATGGGGACCAATTCAATGAACTTTCACAAACAATTCCACTCATCATCAGTCACTCCTAGTGCGTTATGGGGACCTTTTTAGGACCATTTCAAACACTTCTATTCCTTCTTTACGGGGACCATTTCAACAGACTTTCACACATGATTAAACTCAACAGAAGTCACTCAATTTATTATGGGGACATTGTGATGGTTCATTTGAAAAAGGCTAAAAATATTCTACTTCCACTTATCTACTTACTGAATATAGTTAAATGAGTTAAACATAACAAATCTTATATAATTGACTTCAAATGTTAAAAAGCTTGCTCAGAACTGACAAAGAATGGTCAGAATGATCAAGAAAGCCTGTTGTAAAGCCATCTGCTGACACGTGGGTCATCTGTGGGAGACAGAAGGTATAAGACTTTACAATAGAACACTATAATAATCTATAAGTCTAAAACAGTGCTCCAATTTTTCCAACCAAGCCCCATGTTATAAAATACTGAAATGTACCACCAGGTCTGGATCACCATGAAACAAGATAAGAGAAACTTAATTGATCTCACAGTGGAGAATCAGGGTTTATAAAGGTCTAAACTAGACTTCCTGAAGTCTACCTAAAGCCTTGTCTATAGCAGAAAACTCCAAGCTCCAAGTCATAACTAAAACAATCATACAATGTAAAATCACCACCATAGGAGGCCATTTCACACACTTCCATTCATTCTTTATGGGGACCAATGAAACAAACTTTCAAACATAGTTCAAGTCAATAGCAGTAACTGAAAGGGCATTCTTTGTATTAGGTTAGAAATAAGCAATTATTTTAAGCGTGTGTTTGTGACATACTCTTTCTCTCCATGGGCAGTCATCTCCACCATAATCATAAGTAATTTCTTCTCCTTCTTTTTTGTCTCGTAATGCTTCTTTTCATCTTACAATTTGGGTGGATGTGGTCATCATTAACAATACGCCCAAATGTGCCATCTTGTACTGAAGCATCAATGCTGAAAAAAAAGAAATATATATATTGATATATAAAAACTTTTAAACACATATAGTACATACATTATACAGTATAGTGCTACAATCACCAAGCTTACATACTCAAAGCTTACCTATATTTATCAATTCAAATTATATAATACAGAGACAGCTTTTTCAGCTAAATTTTCAAACCCCACAGACAGAGGTTTTTCTGGGCTAATTCGTGGTGCCATTTAAATCATCAAAAACTGAAACAACAGAATGCATAATTATGATTTCACTTGAGTCATTTTTTGAAACAATTCTATTACATTTGTAATTTATTTTATCTGTAGGTTTGGTACAGCTGTTTCTACTATATTACTTCCAAATATCTTCTATATCTAATATATTTTAATACATAATTACAAATCAAACCTTTACTTTCAACATTTAGTCAGGTACTCAATTAATATATTCATCCAGTACTTCAGTAACTTTTCTTTTTCCTTTCTACTTGAAGAAATTAAATATTTCTGCTATTTGACCCACTTAATTCTTAAAATAAAACTAAACTGCAAACTACTTCTTAATAAGTAAAGCCACTATAGGTTGCTGCTATTACATAGAAAGCTTTAGTTGTATCATTCAGAGCCTGTATATGTACTGAGAAACCTTTAGTTGCTTCTTGAAAGTACCACACACAAGTTGATTACTATACGAGCTAGTTGCTAATGCTAACAGGTTGTATATTAAAATCACATCTAATCTTGCTTAAAAAGGGAAACCATGCAAAGTAAATCACTGAATCTGTACTTATTACACAGTTTATTCGTTTTGCATGAGCATTGAACAGATACAGTCTTTAGTATAGCTACCAGCAAAGAGTACTCAGATTCTTTAGCCTGTTTACTCTGACACTAGCTTGTTAGCAAAAATCGGTGCTAACTTCCTAGCTAGCTACTTCTAGTACATAAGAAGCTCTACTTATGTAATTTAGTCACCACTCGTTTACTGCGAAGACAACTGTTCGCCATCTGAATGTCCTTTTAGAAGGGAACATTGACCCATGTGCTGTTTGGTAGAATCTGCTGTCCAAGCTAGTTGCTAATGCTAGCTCCAACAAGTTGCCAATGCTAGCTCGAACCAGTTGCATTAGTCTGTACATTAAAACCACAGCAATTCAGGCCACAAAAGTGAATTAGCAATAACTTGGTTGCTATTAAATAACATGCATATATACAATATTTGTTCTAAAATGATTGCAAATTATGCTTACCTGTCTGTTGCATTTGAAAGCAGCTGAAAACAGTTGATTCCAAGATCATCACTCTTGGGGACCAGGATGTGGGCGGTACTTAATTATATATGCAAAGTGTGTGTGGAAACCAATGTGTCTTACCAGTCATTTACCACCAGAGGTGCCAATGAGCAACCACAACACACACATTAAACATCACTTACGAGCCTTCTCTAAAACTTTGCCCAGCACCTTCTAAACAGCTCCCCCATTCATCTAAATGGTTTTCCTTATGGGGACCTGGTTTTTGGTCCTCCTAAGGAAATGGGTCCCCATGGCGTGACTGTGTTAACAGATTTCAGTCCCCACAACGTGATGATTACAAGAACACACACACACACACACACACACACACACACACACACACACACACACACACACACACACACACACACACACACACACACACACACACACACACACACACACACACACACACACACACACACACACACACACACACACACACACACACACCAAATCATCACCAAATCATCACCAAATCATCACCAAATCATCACCAAATCAATCATATAATTGAATCTGAAATTTAAGTAGTAGTTATAGTTATTTAATTATTATTTGTAAGTAATATTTATTTATATACCGCCTTACACAGACCAGAGTCACAAAGCGGTTTACAATTGTTTGGTTTTTGTCTCTCACTCCACACAGAGATGGGGGCGGGGCCAGTACAGGAGGCGCATTAATATTCAACCATCATCCTTCCAATACATCACTTCTTGATATTTGGCCCTGTTGTGGTTGAATCCAAACCTAGGACTAGAAAATAATATCCAAACTCGTTAAAAGAATGTTATACTTTTGGCCTCAACCAGCTCATATGTTTTTAAATTTGGCTCCGGTCCAACATGAGTTTGATAAGTTTGATACCGCTGCTGAAGAGAGAAAGGGTCTGAGTCATGAGGGGTTAACTGCAGCTGATGACAGATGTGCAAACTAAGCTTAACACTGTCTAAATGTAAAGCGAGATCCTTGGTCTATCTCCGAAGATCTGGTGTGGCTCCCTCTGGATGCTGCTAAATCTGTCTCAACTCTGGATAACATTGTCCACTTGTAAAAATGAAACCTTGGGCATTTGATGCAGTCGAGGCCAGTCATTCCTCTGTTCCCGTTTGCTGTGGAGTCACTTTTTCGTTTAAGTAATGCTTAAAACTTTCTCCTCTAACATGAAGGCTTGTTTTGTTTGTGACACTTAAATTAGTTTGCAGCTCGGAGCACTACACACCTTTGAGAGTAAAGTAATTAGACATTACTTTCCTTAAGATTTATTGTGATATTTATTTGTTCTCTGCCTCTGACTGTGTTTGGCCCCAGCAGTTGTCTCAATAAATGCAATTTTAGGTTCTTTTCGGTCGCCAGTGGTTTCTATATTGCATTTAAATTATGTTTTACAAATGTGTCCATACGTTAATCAAAGTGTATACATGGGAAGATAAATACACAATTTGCACTTTCAAAATTAACATCTACAAACAAAGGCATAGAAAGTTAAACTAAAATATGTTTTGGTCTGTTTGCCTTACTACCCGCTTAAAAAAAGAGATCATATCAAGGGGCAATCATTAAGAATCTAATATTGATATTCACTTCAGTCGACCCGTAATCACAACAAAAAACTACTTTGTCTATGTTTCTGTTCTTTTCCCTTGTCGTTTTAGAAAAAATCCTGCATATTTGAGTTATTATCTATGACCGAGACACTACTCCTCTCCCCTGACCACCCACGGCCCACCAGACCCACTCTTTTCTCGCTCACGGTGGATTGGATTGGCTACTTTCACTGATTTTCTTTTGGGAATCTGTGATAAGTGGATGCTTCATTGCACAGAACTTTTTGCCCAAAGAAAAAACACTTGTTATTTCCAAACTCCCTCTGAGTGACGTCTGTGATGTGTCTGTGATGTGTAGAGAGGCAGGTCACAGGGCAGAGCTTATGACATGGTTTTAGATTATTATTATTGTGCATGTGAGCGTGTGTGTGTGTGTGTGTGTGTGTGTGCGCGTGTGTGTGCGTGTGTGCGCGTGTGTGTGTGTGTGTGTGTGTGTGTGTGAGCGTGTGTGTGTGTGTGTGTGTGAGGGTGTGTGTGCGTGTACCTGTGTGTGTGTGTGTGTGTGTGTGTGTGTATGTGAGCGTGTGTGTGTGTGTACCTGTGTGTGTGTGTGTGTGTGTGAGCGTGTGTGTGTGTGTGTGTGTGTGAGAGCGTGTGTGTGTGTGCGTGTACCTGTGTGTGTGTGTGTGTGCGTGTACCTGTGTGTGTGTGCGTGAGCGTGTGTGTGTGTGTGTGTGCGTGTACCTGTGTGTGTATGTGAGCGTGTGTGTGCATGTACCTGTGTGTGTGTGTGTGTGTGTGAGCGTGTGTGTGTGTGTGTGTGTGTGTGTGTGTGAGAGCGTGTTAAAATGTATGTTTAAAGCATGCAATGATTGGCTAATGGGAATCGCAATAAACAAATCAAAATAACACATGCATCCAAATTCTTCTTTAAACATTATACAATAATAGTAATGAAGCCCCTCTCTCCACACAGCTCCTGGGGATCATCTTGAGCTGCGTCTTCTGGAACCTGCTGGTGGACATGAGCCAGTCTCCTGACATGGTGGACTTCAAGAAGAAGAAGTCCGAGTTCAACTACAGCGAGCTGGACCTGGCGGGTGCGGGCTGGTGCATGTGTCTGCCCCGGGACGAAGGGTACCTGCCTGTGCCTGCCGCAGAGCCCGACCTGGACCCTATAGACATCCACCTGCAGAAGCTGAAGAAGGTGAAGCCGCTGTCTCACGCCCAGCTGCGCGAGATGCAGCGGTCGGCGTCAGGGCTGGACGAAGTGGACAAGGGCCGCAAGCAGAAACGAGAACACTGAGCTCCTTTCACACTGGGCTACATCCGAATCCCAAACACTACTATCTCCTTGTCCTTCCTTTTGCTCTAATGAATACATATTATGCATAATATGAATTCAGGTTTTTTTGTTTGAACGTCAGGGCTCTATCTACACTATTTTCACAAACTTCTGGCATAATCACCCCCCCCAACCCTTCTGCATAAAAGCCAAATCTTAATCTTTTCATGCTCTTTCGAACCCTTATGCTATGGCTTTGGTTTAGATCATTTTTCTGGGTTTTAAAACAAAAGTATTGCTCATTATTAGGTTTGAGGGTTCTTCGAAACTCTCAATGTTTTTTTACAACTGCGTGCCTTCATTCATATAATTAATTTTTAAGTAAACTTTATATCACTTTCTAAAATACAAAATGCCCTAAATGTATTCTCACAAATTCAAATGTAAGGACCAAAATATACATAACGTTTTGTTTTTTTAAGTTGAGAAGGAGAAGGAAGGGTCAGGAAGTCGTTTTTTTTATAAATTCGGATGCAGCCCGAGATTTCTGAAACCGCATATTTTTGTGATCTACAATATGTCTCTGCCCACGAGGTTGATGCCGTGATGCAGTGTTTCCCATGGTTTACTTTCACGCTCGCTCATTTTGGTCAACGTTGTTCAAATAAAACGAGCTTTAGACAGATAATGATAGAAAGATAATGTTATAATGTTATTTCTTACGTTTTCAGGGAGACTGTTCCAGATTTTAGCTGCAAAAATCTAAATATTGTTCTCTGCCCACGACTGCTTTGGCAACACAGTGTCTCCGAAAGATTCCTCATGAGATAATGCTACTGGGACTTTGAAACTGTTTCAGGCCACGGACACACTTAACCTTTTGTAGCAGGAATATCCCAGTAGACGAGCGATTCCCAAAGTGGGGTTCACATTTCAGAGGAGCCCGCAAAGGTTGCCAACACAAAAACACATCAGCGCTATTTTGCTTGTTTGCTGTAAAACCATTGTCTCCAAGTGGGACAAAAAACTGAGAACAATGATATCAAACCTACACAGGAGGAGCTCGGAGTAGATCCTCTGCTTCTCCACGTCCAGAGTAGACTGTTGAGGTGGCCCTGGAGACCCAGAGGAAAGACCCAGAGGAAAGACCCAGAGGAAAGACCCAGAGGAAGACCCAGAGGAAGACCCAGAGGAAGACCCAGAGGAAAGACCCAGAGGAAAGACCCAGAGGAAAGACCCAGAGGAAAGACCCAGAGGAAAGACCCAGAGGAAAGACCCAGAGGAAAGACCCAGAGGAAAGACCCCGAGGCAAGACCCCGAGGCAAGACCCCGAGGCAAGACCCCGAGGCAAGACCCCGAGGCAAGACCCCGAGGCAAGACCCCGAGGCAAGACCCCGAGGCAAGACCCCGAGGCAAGACCCCGAGTACGCTACATCTCTCAGCTGGCTTGGGAACGCCTCTGGATTCCCCCAGATGAGCTGGAGGAAGTTGTGGAGAGGGAAGTCTGGGGGTCTCTGCTTAGATTGAGTGGAATGGAATCAAATTTACAAATAATCTTTTTATATACCCCATGAATAGCATTTGTTACTAATTAAACCATTATTCGTCATTATAATTATGTCATTTTAGTTTCTAAAGCACCAATAATGAAAATAATAATAATAATAATAACAATAATTTAAAAAAGCAATCATGGTCTAAAGTTTATAGACCATATATTAAAATCAGAGATAGTGCGACGAAACTGCTGTTTGTCACTGACAGAAAACGCAATGCAGCAAAATGATAAAAAAAAACAAAAAACACTGGGCCATATTTACCGATGCATTTGCAAAAAGTCCCGCCACTACCGCACAACAAAATGTACACATTATAAATATTGACCCTCAAAATTTATATTTATAATCACAGCATGTTTGGAGCATAAATCTAATTCCTAGATATTACTCATAATAATTACAGTCAAAATGGGTGTATTTTGTTATTTTCCGTTTGGGGCCAATCCTCTCCCGTGGCTGTAAATGGGAAACACTGTTGACGCGGAATCACTAAAGGATTTTTTGCGTACGTGGAGCAGATTTGAAAAACCACTGCTAAAATATGCGTTGATAAAAAAAGGATCAATTCTCCCTTTTTTTTTTTTTTGCCTTTTGGGGGTTTACCTTTTGTCGCTGTAATCATTTGTTGAAGTTGTGTTGCACTACATCGGTTTGATAATCTAGCTGCCATCAGGATCCAGCTTGTATAGACATTACGAGAGCTGTACAGTCCAAACGCGTTGGACTTTTTTGTGTTTAATTTTGTCTCGTGATAGTTGATATTTATCATCTTTGGTATTTTATCAGTTTGTATTTAATTTTTCTTCTTTTTTTTTAGCCCTTAAACCGAATCTCACGCGCTAAAGCTTACCTCAGGCTGTTCGGAACGGCCCAGTAGAACGAGGACGACTTTGGCTGTGTATTTTCAAAAGTAGCTCGAAAAGTTTTCCGGTGGTTGTAAAAAAAAAAAAATGTTTCTTGTGAAGGACGTGTACAGTTTGTGGATTTTAATTTCAATTTTTTAATGTTTTGATATGATTTTGTGAAGGGATGCAACCATGGCGATAAGGTAGTAACGTTGGAATCATCGGTACGACCTTAACGGTTCAATATGCGCAGGCGATTGGAATAAGCTAAGTCTTGGTTTACAGCTCTGTGTGCAGGTGTCATTCCACGCTCAGGGACAAGAAAAGCATCATTTTTAATTTGCGTTGGAATTCTTGCTTATTACTTTTTGCTCAGGTAAGCCTCCGTCGTCTGTCTGTGTCTTATTTTACAGGCACAGAAATTGCAAACTCGGTTATCACAGCTTGTGGCCATGTTTTTTTGTTATCACTTATTGTTTTACCAAGCCCGGCGATCCAAGATGGCGTCATATTCAAATGAATGGTTGTGCTCAGTGGCGCTTTGTGCCGGCACGGTCGCTGACATATTAGCAAAACTCGCCTGGAACTCGCAAAGATACATGGGGAACGCGCCTGTATTTGGGCATCGTCTGGTCCTCCCGGTTCTGCGCAGTGGAGGAACTCCCATGATGCGTTGCGCTGAATATGTGTGTGTGGTTCTCATGGACGTGCACAGAGGGGCTCGGGCGCGCTCCGACCAATCAGAGCTGCTCAGAGCGGGAGTTAGAGCAGGAGCCAGACGAGCAGAGTTTGTGGCAGTAAAGTGTAGATTTAAAGAAAACCGAAGGATTTAAGAAGAAAAAAAGTTCAGGATGACAAGGGACACTAAAATCCACACAAAATCCGACCTTTATGAAAGCTGTAGGTTCTCTGTCAGCTGGGGCGACAGTGGCTCAGTTGGTAGAGCATTGGCCTTTGGGCCTGAAGGTCGTGGGTTCGAGCCCACCATAAAACCTACTTCACGACTCCCACTGATGACTGCTGTTGTTGTGTCCTTGGGCAAGACACTTAACCCCACTTTGCCTGAAGCCCCCACTGAAAGATCTCAGCTCCTGTGGACTCACCACCTGCAGGAGGATCAGTGAGGGGCTGGTGCTCTGTGTACTGGGTGGCATCTCTGGCCACCCTCCCGACCCAGAAATGGATTAAGGGGAAGAAAATGGATGGATGGATGGAAGGTTCTCTGTCAGGTTCTCTGTCAGCTGAGGTTGAGCTGTTTTAGTTTACATTGAGTTCTATGGGGTACATTTCTGGGTAGCCCACATGAATTTAGTTGTGTTCAGTCTGCAGTACCGCGAGAATCCCCCAAGCACATGGTTCTTCAGCTCCAAGCTCGTAATACCCTATCCAGTTATTTTAATAGATCCATGTGTTTGACCCACCACCTGCAGGAGGATCAGCGAGGGACTGGTGCCATGAACCCCCCCCCCACCCAGAAATGCACTAATAAAGGGGCAGACGATGATTTGACATGACTTTTTTTTTTTTTTTTTTTTAGAGCAATTTATGTTGGGCTGTAACCAGTTAAACACAGCTTATTGATTATTGAAAAAGTTGTCAAATCATGTAGTAATCAGTTAATTGTTGTTTTAACCTTACATAGACTTAAACACGCTGAGAAAAGGCTCTGATAATTCTATAATGGCTGCAGAATAAACGGAATCAGTAATCAAACCATCCATCTTTAAAAAAAATCCCATCTTTTCTGACCTTTCTAAATACCTAATAGATTAAATGAAATAATCGTTAATTACTTCCCTTAATTCATGCATCTTTAGCCCTGTTTCCACCAGCCGTACCTAGCCTCTACTCTGCTCTGCTCAACCCCGATTGGGAGTTCTTCCAGCGATGTCCTCTGCAGCTGTATTTTACAGTGTATGCACGGCTTTCGACAGCTGCAGCAGCACTCAGACCTACCACTAACAGGTCGGATATCTCCACAATCGCACTTTAGCAGTTGAGAGTTCAGGTGGTTTGAAAAGTGCATAGAGTGTGTGGTGTGGGGTTTTACAGCCTTTAAACATTTAGCTGCAAATTTCGCTTATTCCGTGTTATTTTTTAGATAAACAAGGGACCACTGCTGCAGGTAGAAGCGCGCCATCTCTTCACACACCATCCCACCTTTTAGATTTATTTTTGATTGATTCTGTTTTACGTCCCGTCACTAGTAGACCTGGGGACAACACAACACTAAACAACACAAAGTGAAAATGAACCAAAATTCAAACCGAATGCAAATTGAACGTTAAGGCTGCCGCTCGCCGTCTCGTTGCATCTCCGACTGTGTGCATACGGTGTACATTGTAAGACTGATAGTTGTGGACAAACATGGGGTGCATGTTTTGTACTGTACATGATAAAGTTTACATGTTTAGGCTGTTGTCGTGGGAGGGGGCTTCAGCGGACTCATCAGGAGGTGTGGAGCTGCCGTGATGGCTCTGCACAGTTCGAGCTTCCCCTGGCTCCTGCCTTTATCAGCACTACTCTACTACTGTCAATAAAGCTGATTTTGTTTTTACTGATCCACGCCTGGCACTCTTAACTTCTTCCAAATTAAACCACTGTCATTTATAGGTTT